TGAAGAAAGAAGAAGAAAGGAGAAGGAAGCAGTTATAGGAAAATGTTCTTAAATAAAGTGTGCAATACCAATCGCTGCCCTTGAACTGCTTTTGAAAGTTTTGGTTTTCACATTATTAACCCTAAGAGGATTTATTTTTATTTCTCATTAGCCCAACTGAAAAAAAAAAAGTAGCAGGAAATTTCTCTTGACTTGACTGAATGTTCACAACCCATTTAAATTGTATAAGGATTTAGAGAAGTAATGAAGTCATTCGGGTCTTGATTTAGGGCCATTCAGAGGATCACCAGTTATTTTAAAGATGTCCCAAATTTTGTGGCTGGGGGGAATGGGGGGGTAGAATAAGTATTATTCTGTATATGTATATAACTAACAAAAATAAATGTTTGCCAACTGCACTCTTAGGAGGAGCCTTGAGGCAATGCCAAGTGAAACAAATAATTTGGCTGGGTGCAGTGGCTCATGCCTGTAATCACAGCACTTTGGGAGGCCAAGGGGGGCGGATCACCTGAGGTCAGGAGTTTGAGACCAGCCTGACCGAATGGTAAAACCCAGTCTCTATAAAAAAAGAAAAAATTGAAATATATTTTTAAAAAAACAAAAAATGAAAATAACAAATAATATAGAGTACCAATCCTTACACTAGTAAGAACCATCATTTTAGAAAGTAAGACAACCTTGAATCCAGCTACAATCACAAAGAAAGGAATTTTTCAGCATCTGAGCTCATTTCCAAAATGAAATTCTACCAGCATGATGTGTGGAAAAAGCATTTTTTTTTCTCCAGAGTCAAAGAAACAAGCACTGAACCCTAGCTCTACAATGGACTCAGTCAATGACCTTAGGCAAATTACTTAAGCTGTACCCCTTAGGATCATTGTAAAGATTCTATGAGACAGCATATACAAAGCTCTTGGCACCAAGCAGCTGTATGAAAAGTGATAGCATTCCTCCCACCCCACTCCTTGACCAAAATGTGCAAGAGTTGGGTTTTGAGGGGGGTTTTCTTGTGGTTTTTTTAGGAGAATAACTCTTAAAGCTTAAAACTATATTTAGGAGACAATAATTAACATTGCATAACCATAGTTAATTCACACACATTTTCACACTGAATTCTCACATCAGTAAATCATACTTCTACATATAGCCATTGCCATCTACCTCACTTTTGACAGTGCAGTGGTCTGTGGCCATACCACCCTGAATGCACCTGACCTCAGAAGCTAAGCAGGGTTAGGCCTTGTTAGTAATTGGATGGGAGACCGTACAGTAGTACAAAGGACAAGATTATTTGGAGCACTCATCAAGAATCCTAACAAGTTTCAACTAATGAGTTGGTAACAATGATCATAGCAGACAAATTGTCTGTAAAGGAGAAGTCATGTTCTGTCTTTCTTTTTTTCTTTTCTTTTTTTTTTTTTTGACAGAGTCTTGCTCCATCTCCAGTATGAAGTGCAGTGGCATGATCTCGGCTCACTGCAGCCTCCACCTCCCAGGTTCAAGTGGCTCTCCTGCTTCAGCCTCCCAGATAGCTGAGACTACAGGCACGCACCACGATGCCCAGCTAATTTTTGTATTTTTAGTAGAAATGGGGTTTCACCATATTGGCCAGGATGGTATCGATCTCCTGACCTCATGATCCACCCTCCTCGGCCTCCCAAAGTGCTGGGATTACAGGCGTGAGCCATCGCGCCCAGCCCCATGTTCTGCCTTTCTTCTGTGTATGATTTTAAAAAGCAAAGCCAAATTTTTACAAAGAAATTCAGCCAGGTGCTATGACTCATGCCTGTAATCCCAGCTCTTTGGGATGCTGAGGTGGGCTGATCACCTGAGGTCAGGAGCTCGAGACCAGCCTGGCCAACATGGTGAACAGCATCTCTACTAAAAACTACAAAAATTAGCTGGGCGTGGTGGTGGGTACCTGTAATCCCAGCTACTTGGGGGGGCTGAGGCAGGAGAATCACTTGAACCCAGAGGGAGGAGATTATAAGCCAAGATCATACCATTGCACTCAAGCCTGGGTGACAGAGTGAAACTTCATCTCAAAAAAAAAAAAAAGGAATTCAGTGGAGCAGAGTAAGTCATTCATTCATTTAGTAAGTATTTACTACACATCTACAATGTGCCTGGCACCGTTCTAGGATCTAGGAATTCAGGCAGGCAGACAAAGGCCCTGCTCTCATGCGGCTTACACTCCAATAACTTGAAAACTTTTGGCACTTCATGATGAAGCCAATGACTCTTAAGCAAATGAGACTAAGAACTGGGAAAGAGTCTATTCATCTATAATTTTTAAAATATAATTTAATTTTAAAATATAATTCCCTTGTTTTAGATTTCTTT